GGCGCGGCTGGAGCCGCCGGGTCCCGGGCGGCCGCAGGGGCCGCGGCAGAGCTGGCGGAAGCAGCGCTTGAAGTTCTCGTCCAGGAAGGCGTAGAGCAGGGGGTTGAGGCTGCTGTTGGCGTAGCCGAGCGCGATGCACAGGTGCAGCGCGGCCACCACCAGCGGGTCGCGCCGGTCGATGTCCACCAGCGTCCAGACGATGACGAAGATGTGGATGGGCGCCCAGCACACCACGAAGGCGCCCACCACCACCAGCACCATGCGCGTGATACGCCGCAGGCTGCGGTCCTTCTCCCGGGAGCCCGACAGCAGGCGCACGCTGCGCAGGCGCAGCAGCATGAGGCCGTAGCACGCGCTGATGATGAGGATCGGCACCACGAAGGCGAAGAGGAACACGCAGATCTTGGTCACCGTGTCCCAGTACCAGCTGGGGCTGGGGAACTGGAGCATGCACACCACCGCCCCATCTGGGCCGGGGAAACAAGGAAAGATAGACCAGGGGTGAGGGGCCTGTGTGCCTAAAGGACCCTGTCTGCTCACCTACCCTTCTTGGCTTGGTCAAGGCTCACTGCCTCCTCCTGGCCTTTGCTCAAGGTGATTCTTCTGCATGGAATGTCTTCCTTTGTTTCTGCACTTGGTTAACTCCTACTCTGCTTAAAGACTCCAGCAGGATTGGTCCTCATCTGCGAGGCCTCCCACCTACCATTCTCTCCCAGCCCTCTAGAAGCCTGTGTCCATGGGCCATAATAATGACATAATTTAGCCCAGCCCACTAAATGCCAGTCATCGTGATAACTCAAAACACTCCCATTCATTCCCAAACTAGCTCCAGTGGGGAGAGTACTACTAAGATTGAGTTAGAGAACATGAGTTAAGAGCAGGACTCAGGCCCTACTAACTGTGTGGCATGACCTTGGGCAAATTACACAACCTCTCTAAGTACCCACATTTCATAGGAGGTTGTGAGGTTTAAATGGGCTAATGCATGTAAAGCATTTAGCACAGAGGGTTCAAGGTGCACTCACAGGGAAGAGGGGCAGATACATATGAAAGACCAGAGGTCAGGATTAGGGCCAACCTCCCAGGAGGGAGGCAGATCGTGGCTTAATTTCAAGAAGAACTTTCTGATAGTCACACTTGCCCAGAGCTAGGAAGGGAGTGTGGGCTTGGGCTGGAGGAGCACCTTAGGGAATGTTGTGGGATTCCAATACAAGCCTGAGGCCAGCCCAGGGGACTCCCAAGATCTCTTAGAATGCTGGGACTTGAGGAGCCACACTAGGAGCCTGAGAATCATGAGAAGAGGGCTGGGGATCCACAGACAAAGTGGGTCCACAGGACATCAGGCTGGCAGGACCCCTCAGAGTTGACTGGGTGCAAGACTTTCATTGTACAGATGACAGAACTAGGCTCAGATGGGAACAGCACTTGTTTAAGGTCACACAGCAAGCAGCATACAGAACCAAAGACTACTGATGGCACACACCGGAGGAGTGAGTGTGTGTGTGTGTGTGTGTGTGTGTGTGTGTGTGTGTGTGTGTGTGTGTGTGTGGTGAGGATGGGCCATCTGGTCCAGCCCCCAGCAGGGCTGCAGTTAATGGCCCATAAACTAAAGGCTTACAGTGAAGAATGGGGCCCTGCTGCTGCGTCAAGACCAATTGCTCAGAGTCTGTATAAGGGCACCAGGGTGAAGGTCAAGGGTGACCAAGAAGTCTCCCATCAAGCCTGTTCCCCTGTCCAACCCATAACACCAACCCTCTGCAAACCTCCACCCAAGGGTCTGAAAGGAACAGCATCTGGGGGCGAGAACCTTGGGTTGTAGGCCAAGTTCCACCAAATGCCTGGCTGTGTGACCCTAAGTTAACCAACTGATCTCTCTGATACTCAGTTTTTTCACAGTAAAATGGAGGTAGGAGTCTCTGCCTTGTCTCACAGGCTTAATCATTTAATAACTGCTATTTATAGGGCCTTGGCAATGAGCCCAGGCCTTGTCCTAAGTGTTTTGTACATATTTTCTTATTTAACCTTCTCACCACCCCCATGATATAGTGTGGTTCAGAGAGGTTAATTAGTTACTAGTGTCATTGGCATCCTTCTAGACTATATTTCCCACTTCTTTACATCAAGGTAGGGCAATGTAACCAGCTATCACTAGGAAGGGATGAGCCATAATATTTAAAAGTGGTTGTGCTTTCTCCCCACTCCCTCTCCATGTTCATCTACCAGCCAGAGGCCAGCAGTGGAAGATTCAGAAACCATCAGTAGGAGCCTGGGTTGCTAAATGACTGTACTTCTGTTACTCACATTGGATTGTGTGGCGAATGAGAAATAAACTTCTACTGTCTTAAGCCCCTGGGCTTAAGTAACTAATACAGGTAGTTACTATAATAATTACTATTTTACTCGGAGAAAATGCACATGACATTCTCTACAGGCCATTCCCTAGGCCTTGCTTTGGTCATCTGGGCCAATGGCTTTCAAGTTGGGTGAAAGGGAGTTTGGGATGAGACCGTAGATCTTGTGGCCTCCACTGCTCACTGGTCAGTGACACGCTAACCCCACTGGCCATCTATCCATCTCTCTATAGGTCAATCATCTACACATTCCTGGCCAGCTATCTACATCCCATATGACCACTCACCAGTCACCCTTCCACATTCCCCAGTGGCCAACCATTCACATTCCTGTTGGTTGACCTTCCACACTCCCACTGGCCAGCCATCACACTTTCATTGATCAGCAATCCACACCTCCACTGGTGAGCCACCTACACTTACCCTGATAAGTGCCCTGCAAACCCAAAGAGGCCCATGTGTTGCCTCCTTTGGTCAGTGGCCTATGCCATAGCTCCCTCACTCACTCACCCCGGGGACGGGTCACAGCCATGACCATGATGGGCACACCAACACCTGAGGACAGGATCCAGATACAGATGTTGATCAGCTTGGCCTTGGCAGGGGTGCGGAAGTCCAGGGCCTTGACAGGGTGGCAGACGGCAATGTAGCGGTCGACGCTCATCATGGTGAGTGTGAAGATACTGGTGAACATATTGTAGTAGTCAATGGAAAGCACCACCTTGCAGAGCAGTTCCCCGAATGGCCACGTCTCCATCAGATACTTGGCGCTCTGGAAGGGCAGCGTGCTGGTGGCCAGTGCATCAGCCAAGGCCAGGTTGAAGATGTAGATGTTGGTGGCTGTCTTCATCTTAGTGTACCTTAAAAGGAAGTGTATGTATATTTGGTCCTATTTCACAGATTTCACTTTCACATGAAACTCAGGGAGGTGAACTGTGTTGCCCAAGGTCACACCAAAGGTCAGGGGCAGGGGGGGACGAGAACCCTTAACTATCTGATTCAGCATCACTCCTTTCTACTACAACAGATGCAAAAGGATTTCTCTAGCTGTGGGTGACTTAGGCAGAAGGTATTTTAGGAAAAATCCTTATCTTCTGAGAGGTACTAAGTGATATCGTTAAAGATAAAACTGGGCTCCAGAGGAAAACAAGTCTAGGTTCTAATCCTACCTCAGCTATTTATTAGCTGAGTGACTCAAGGCTAGTAACTTGAACTCTCTAAGCCTCAGCATCCAGAATTGTAGAAAGAGGGATGATATTTGTACCAAGTTCTCAGCATTATCCTGAAAATTTAGTGAGATGTTATAGCACTCAGCCCTGAGCCCGGTGCACAGTAGCACTCAGGACATGGCAGCTATTACTATTCTTCATATTTGAAGAATGGAGCTGGGGGCTAGACCAGAGTGACCTGACTCTCTAGCTTTTGATACTGATATGGCCTTTTGGAAATATGATTGGCCAACTCTGGAGAAGGGACGCTGCCTGAGACTGGCTGGGGCCTTAGACCCCCTGAGGTGTCCTCTGGTAGAGCAGGGCTCCCGATCCTTCCAGTGGACCCATCTATGCCTTCTTATCTCCATGCACTGGACTCACCCCTCTGTAGAAGCCATGGTGCATCCCCCTTCCTTATGCACAGTGGTTTGAGGAAGGGAGCGGTACAGTGTCACACATCCAACCCCGGGCATGAGCTCAGGTGTCCAGGCCAGAGGTCTGCACCCAAACTCTGCACCTGACACTCCCTACACCCCTCCATGCTCTATGCTGCTGCACAGTTGCCTACACAACAGCTGACCCCTTGTTTGGCCAATGTTTACAGTCACAGCCCCTTCTGAGCTGGGCTCTGGATAGCCTGGGGGACACTGTCCTAGTGCAGTGTACTCATCACAGAAACACGCAGGTACACTGAGGCAGCGGTAAGGACTATTTTCGTGCCACTGGGATTATCTGAGAAATCCAGAGAACTGTTACACGAGCAAGTCCTCAAATTTCAGAGCAGGAAGAGCCCTGAGAGATTGAGGGGAAGTGATTTTATTAAAGTGTGGTCCCAGGACTCCCTTCAGAATTACCAGAAGAAGTGCCGAGCCCGCGGCGCACTCGGGAGAGTGCAGCACTGGGAGCGCAGTGGCGCTCCTGCCGCGGGTTCGGATCCTATATAGGGATGACCAGTGCGCTCACAGCGCTCACTGGCTGAGCGCGGTGCGGCCGGTCTCAAAAAGGACAAAAAAAAAGAATTACCAGAAGAACCTATGAGAAATGCAGTTTCCTGGACCCCACCTCAGATCTGCTAAACCTTAATCACTGAAGCCAGGGCCTGGGGATCTTCATTTTTAACAAGCACACCCCTCCCCCCCCTCGGTGATTCTTATGAACTGTAAAGTTTGAAAATCACTACATAGCCTAAAGCCCATAATGGGGAGGGACAGGGAGACTGAAGCCCAGAGAGGTGCATGACTCACTCAAGGTCACACAGCAACAGGGCCAGACCCAAGGCGAGAACTTAGACCTCCTAATGCCCCATGCTCTATTTACTCTACCCCAAGGGTGGCACCACACTGTGTGCCTCCACTCCTCTAGAATCTTCTGATGCCATGCCTAGCCCTGGTAGTGACCCAGGGCCCAGCACTAAGATAAAGGCATGCATATTTCTGTTTGTTTTTTGGTGGCTGGCCAGTAAGGGGATCCAAACCACTGACCTTGGTGTTATCAGCACCAAGTGCGCTAACTGGCCAGCTTTCACTCACGTTTTTGAATTGACTGAACACACTCACAAACAGTTAATTCACTGAAAAAAACAGCTGAGGCTGTTTCTTCATGAAGTGACTGATTTTTTTTTTTTTTTTTTTTTTGGTTTAAGAAAAAAATTGACTCACTCATTGTCCTCCAGGGCAAGCATCTGTCCCACTCCCTCCCAAAATAGCTTGTCATTGGCTCTGGGGCTGGAGAAGCAAAAAGTTTTGCTCAGAGACAGCAGAATTGCAAGTCTCAGGAAGTTTGCCTTCAGTGGGGTGCAGGATCACAGCTGTGTGGGAGGCGGTCTCAACCCCACAGCTGACTTGTCTAATTTCTCTGCTCTTACGCAGAACAATTAGAGGCTGTTCTTTGCCTGCTATTTTGATTTGTGAAGGATCCTTCCATTCCCAGAGGGGGCTGGGCTGCCGGGAAGTGGGTGATGAATCTACTGTCGCTGGGCCAGGTGGGGCTGAGCAGCCCAGCACTGTCTGCCAGGCAGAGCCCCCCAGGTCTCCCTGTCTCTCACCCCCCACAGTCAAGCCCTGTCCTGATGGCCTCCTTAGAATCCCTTCTCCAGCCCCAAGACAAATCGTGCTGCTCTCTTGCTATAAACCCCAAACCATCCCCATGAAGTTCTATGTTCTACAAGCTGACCCTGACCACCTCTAGGACCTCAGCTCCCAGAACCCTCCCCTTGACTGATGTGTTCCCACAACACACTCGCTTCTTTGCTGTTCCTTGGACACATCAAGCCCACTCCCGCCTCAGGGCCTCTTGACTTGCTCTTCTCTCCACCTGGGACTCTCTCATGCCCCAAATTTTGCATGGCTTGCTCCTTAATTCAGGCCTCTGTTCAAATGTCACCTCTTCAGAGAGGCCCTCTCTGACTGCCCTCTCCCCACCATCGCCCTGTATTTCCTTCAGCTGCTTCCTTTTTCTTTCTAGCACCAACCACTGCCTGACCTCTATCTTCTCTGTCCCCTTGACTCTTAGGCCCTCATCTTGGTGGGGCACCTCTGCTAGTCACTTCCTGAGAAAGGACACATAGGAGGTAAGATTTTACCCTCACTTCTGATTTCTTTGACTGTATTTGGAATGCTAGATTGGAAATAATTTTCCATCAGAATTTTGAAGGCACAGCTCCCTCATCTTCTAGCTTCCAGTGTTGCCCCTGAAGTATCTGAAATCATTCTGGCTCCTGTTGATTTGTAAGTGATCTGTCCTCTCCCCCCCACCCCCAAAACTTTTAGGATTTTCTCTTTATCCCTGGTGGTCTGACATTTTGTGATGATGTACTTTAGGATGGCTTTTTCATTTGTATTGGGTCCTTTCAATCTGAAGATTCACATTCTTCAGGATGAAGTGTCCTCACATCATTTCTTTAGTAATTTCCTCCCTTCTGCTTTCTCTGGGATCCCTGGAAAATTCTTTAGTCATATATTGGGCCTCCTGGATTGATCCTCTAATGCTCTTGTATTGTCTTTTTGTTATACCTTCTGGGAATTTTTTTTTTTTTTTTTTTTTCTTTTTTTGTCTTTTTCCATGTCCGGCAACGGATCGCAACCCTCAGTGTTGCCCCCGTACCGGACCGGGGACCGGCAACGGGATTGCAACCCTCGGCGTTGCCCCCGCGCCTCGCTCAGCCAGTGAGCGGGAACCGGTCTGTATGTGGGATCCGAACCCTCGGGCGGGAGCACCGCCGCACTTCCCAAGCGGCGCACTTATCCAGTGCGCCACCGGGCCGGCCCTGGGAATTTTTTTTTTAATCATTATGTCTCAACCCTCTATTGACCTTTTTTGACTCCTGTGTTTTATTTTCCCAGTGCCCTTTCTTATTATTCCTTTTTATTTTTATTTTTTTTCCTTTTTATCTTTTTTCGTGACCAGTAATGGGATCGCAACCCTCGGTGTCGCGCCCGCACCGTGCTCAACCAGTGAGCGGGAACCAGTCTCTATATGGGATCCGAACCCTCGGCGGGAGTGCCGCCGCACTCCCAAGTGCCGCACTCTACCAAGTGCGCCACCGGGCTGGCCCTTATTATTCCTTTTTTATATAGCATTTATAGCATCTTATTTCACAGACACAATATCTTAACTAAGGATACTAGTAATTTTTGTTTTGTATTTTCCTCTGCTCTCTGCATTGTCTACTTGCTTCATCTATTTTTGCTTAATTACCCACTTTAGCCTCCCTCTTTTATCCTGGAGACATCCTTCAAATATCTGGTGATATGTGACTAAAGGTTGATCTTTGAATAAAGCACTAAATAACTAATTGGCACCTTTGTGTGTTGGGGGGGGGTCTTGTTAACTGGCAGACTTCACTGTAGGGGAACTGGGTGGTGATCTGGCTTTTACACTGGGGGACACGTAAATATCAGTTTCTGTAGGTCTCTTCTCTGGGGCCATCAGAAAAGAAGCCTCCCATCTCCTGCCTGGGTCGCACACTTCCAGCTGTCAGGATTCTGTTGACAGACCTGGAAAAAGGACCTGGGAGTCCCGCCATTTTCCATTTGATATCTTTTTTTTTTTTTTTTTTTTTTTTTTTTTTTTTTGATTGGTAAGGGGA